CCCCCCCCCCCCCCCCTTTTGTACATATCTCTATTACCTTGTTTGTATTGTGTTACTATTTATGTTTGTCAAGACTGAATGTCTCAGTTAATGTGTACAACTGTCATGTACTAACCTAACCAAAATCAATAAAATATTTGTTTACTGTGTTGTTAAAATGGCATTAAAATGCGTGAAGAGTGCATTATAACTTGTTTGGGACCCAAAACTCAAAGTTTAGGACTTGAGATTTGACTTGGACTTGAGGGCAAAGACTTGAGACTTACCTGTGACCTGCGCAACAATGCCTTTGTCCCATTTCTGATAAGAAATATGCAGACCTATCAGTTCATCCTTACACTGATAGAAGCTACCCTCTCCCTCTGTTACAGTGACAGTGCTTGGTGTTAATAGACATGTCAGAATTTGCTGTTGCGGCCACAGTGATGTATAGACTAAAATAGGTGTGAACAGCCAGTGCTTCCTAATGGACGTTTCTCAAGTGTAGATAATTTGTGGCATAGTCATTTTTCTCTCTGACACCAGCAATTTATCCTGCCCTTGGCTCTGTAAGCGTGCCACTGCTCCACACTTCATATCTTTTCTGCAGGCTCACTGGGTGGTGTTTTACTTGAACTAAATAGACAACAGACCTTTTTGTTGTATTGCATGGTATTGTTCATAATTCAGACAATTCATAGGTAAAAGGTTTTGTTAACTCTGGGTAACCTTCGATTTGAAGTGTCAGGGGGTTGTGAGGATAATCCTAGACACTTTGGGAAACTGTCAGTGTCAAGTTGAACTACCATTTGCTGTGGTTGGGTGGCAGTTAAACTACATTCAATATCAGTAGCTTTTTCAGCCAATGACTTTGGGTCATGTAGTTTATGTAGTTAATAACAAACTACGTATTCATAGTATTCTCAGGATGTTTTTTCCATATAATATGGTACAAAGCCACAGCTTATTGGCCATGGTTTAAACTCAGTGACAATCAGCTATTTGACTAAAATCACCTCTGATTTGCAACCACGATATCTGTGATTGAATACTTTGAATTTCTCAAAGAGTTTGGCATTTTCCTGATTCAATCCCAACAGTTGCTCCCAATCCTCTCCTTAAACACATCCTGGGCTGCCTGCAAGGATCGGCCTGCCCTCAGTGTTAGTTCAGTTGTACCTCCGTGTAACAATATATGATCCCAGACTCAGATTGTGATCATTTCCTGTGGATATAGTTGAACCACTTTCCGAAACTAGTTTTACTTTAGCAAGCTAAATTCTTAAGGAGTAGTGAAGATGTAGTTTCACTGCTTTTCATTGTGAAGTAGCCAGTAGTTTGTTAAACTACAATTTTAATGCAGTTTCCCCGATGATGGACACTGTGGATAAACAGTGCAGGTGCACTCTGGACAGAGGTGATTCAGAGAGCAGCTCACGGCAACATCCCCCCTCTGTCACCACAACAGTGCTCGGAGTGAAACATGAGGCTGTCAGAAGGTGTGAGTCAAACAAGGACACAGATACTGTGTGAAGGATTAGAGTATTTAGAGATGCAATGTGCTACTAGTGTGTCAGACGCTGAAGGATATCCTGCGGGAGTGACAGTTTGTTTTTCCAACGATAACTTTCTTGACTATCATAGCATAAGAGTATTATGCGTCAGTGTCAGATTGTCACAGTGAGGGTGTTCGGTGATTGATTTCAAAACTGCTGCAGTTTTTACTGTACATCATGTTCCACTGTGTGAGTTATAACTTGAAAAAAAGAGGACATACTCACTCTGCTGTACATGCTAACCCTGGGCAATTTTCTGCTTCCATCATAAGACCCCCCCAAAACACATGCGCGCGCACACACACACACACACACACACACACACACACACTGCATCAACTGACAACATGTATGCACAGTATGCTTCCTGTCTCCTTCAATTCACTCATGTGACTCACTTTCCAAGGGCTGACTGCTGGGATCAGTTGCCATGGCAACCACCGATCATATGATGGTTACTCACCCTGTGAGCGTTTTCTCTTTCTTTTTTCTTTTTTTTTCCACCCTCCTCTCTAGCACCTACAGGCGTTCTGCAGCACGTCTGTGAATGAGCCACTGAATTTAAAGTTCAACATCCTTCTCCCCCTCCCCTCACAAAACACAACTTACCACGAGCCTGGTTTTCCTGCCCGTGGCGGTTCGTAGCTTCTGATGTGTGACTCGACTCATGTAAACACGTAGTTTATCACACCTTTAAATTGTGCAACAGCAGACACAATGTGCTCTGCCTCCTGTCACAGCCAGGATTCTGCTGCAGTATTACTCACCTTAAAGCTGCATGAATAACCACAGGTTATGTTTTTCAGAGTGACGGCATTGGATCATTGAGGCAGGCGCTCAGGATGAGGCAGGGAAAAAAAAATCACATCTGATAAATGGTGCCACAGGCGGAGAAATTTCACTCTCAGTGCAGCATCAACACTCTCCATCATAACAGCTCTGACCTGAAACATCTTGACCTTGAGCTGCCTCTATTTCTATTCGTCTCACACAGCAGCAGAGAGGGTCGTTCTGCAGCGAGGCCCTTGGATCCAGCTTTAATATTTCACATGTTGTTAAACTGGAGCACAGAGTGGAGGGGTAATGAGCCATCAAACTGGGCTGTGATTTACTGAGCCTTTTATCTATAAGAGTTTGTAGAGTCGGATGGCTAAAGACCCAGTTAATAGAGAAGAGACAGACGGACAGTGGTGCCCCTAGAAATTTTTCATAGGGGTGGCCAAATGAGGAAGATCTTGGGGTGAATTTGAAGGAGTAGGCCTACATTGACTGTAAGGAGCAAAACGTTTACTGGGAAAAAGCCTCAAGTTTAGGGGAGGCTTGTGGGTACCCATAGAACTCATTTTAATTCCAATATCTTAAGGCAAAGTATTCTCAAATAACGGTTCATATGTTATTCTACAAATTAGCACCCCATGAATGACATTATGTACTTAATGTTATTAGCTGTTGTGGTTAGGTTTAAGAAAAATATCATAGTGATGATGTACCTTAAAATGACTCAAAGTTCACACAGTTCCAAACACAAGTCTTCTGGGGTAAGTCCTGTGTTTTGTGACCCATACACCATCCCACCCTGCCACCTAACAGGGCTGCTTCCTTCTTTAGTCATAATCACATTGGTCACATGATTGCAGCCTTCCCAACACGTGACTTATTCACAAATTTCTAGCTCATGATTATGAGGTATAACTTTTGGTGCATTACTTTTCATGAGAACAGCCTGTTTGAGGTGAGGGGTCAAGGTACCCCATTGTAAATGGCCATACCAGTTGTTCTCTTGCCAGAATTTTCTTGCCTAAATTTGGAGTGTTATTTAGGGTCCTTGCTGACAAGCTTCTCCAACATGGTTGGTACCAATGGATTTCTTAAGGTACCTAGTTTCACAAAATGTTTGGGCTATCTTAAAAATGAGTGTGCCATATCCTCTTGAAGACAGTAATATCAGCCCCCCCCCCCCCCCCCCCCCCCCCCCCCCCCCCCCCCCCCCTTTTTTTTAGCGCCACTGCAGATGGCACCTCAAAACTGACTGCAGTCAAATAGAAGACATTAATCCAAAAATACACCATCAAATATTGACTTATTTCTGGATGTGAAACGGGGCTTTAGAACAGGTGAGAGATAACATGTTTCCCTGCATGTTACTCAATGGGA